AACATCAGTTACTACATGTGCATAATATATCTCCAAAAACTATAGAAAATCGGGTTTTTTTTATGTTTATGGCTAAATATCATATCGAATATTTACTCTTCTTTATAAAAAAAAAAGTCATTCAAAAAATAATCTGTTCCAGGTATAAAAGAATCAGTTTGTTTTACATTGCGTTATTAGAAATTTCTTTGTACATGTAAAACGTTAAATGACGTCAGAGTTCATTTTTTGTGATTTACTCGTGAAAGATCCAATTTTCAACATCTAATATCTCTGTAACGAATGCGTTACCTTAAAAAGTTTGTAATAAAGAATGTTCGTAAAATTCCCAACTTTCGGGTTATGGCATTTTTAAAAATTTTATTTTGTGTTAAAATTAGATAAAGGCCACAGAAGATAGCACAAAATCAGTCATTTATGCATAATTTTATCAACTATCCTAGTAGGATATGAAACTTTAACTTCAAGTTTACGATAAACTTTCTGAGAATCATATGGGGGCTGAAAACTTTGCAAAAAAAAAAGTGAAAATCAGTTTCTTCTCTCTCTCTTCTCTCTCTCTCTCTCTCTCTCTTTGTCTCTCTCCAATTATTGTGTGTTTGAAACACCAGCAATTAAATGCCCATGATGCTGAAAAGGCGTGTCTGGGCGTTAAAGGGTTAAGGAAAGACGAGATTTCCTAAATAATAGATAAATTTTTCTAAGAGTTTGACGTACTGCTACTAAAACATGTTTAAACACAAAAAATTGAGGTAAATTCCTAAAACATGCATTGCTGCAAGTTACATGCAGGAATGTGTTTTTCTAAAATATAATCTTTTTTTTTATGATGGATCTAGAAGAAAAAAAATTTCCAATTTCAAAAATGTTATAAGTTTCTTTGCATTAGAAATTTCTTTGTAATGTAAAACATTTGAAACTTTTTTGTGTTTAGAAATCAAATGTTATCTAACAATTTTACCTTAAAATTTTTTGTAAAATTCCCACTTTCGGGTTAATATTTTTAAAAATTTTATTTTGTGTTAACGTCTCTCGTGGCCTTAAATATACAACAGTCATTTATGCAATTTTATGTGTCCTAAGGATATGAAATTATATACTAATTGGCGAGAATTGAAAAAAAAAAGTGTTCAGTCTTCTCTACATAAATATCAATTGTTTTGTTTTTTATCCAATTCCCCCTTTTGAAATGATTTTAAAAGCTAAATCCACATATGAAAAGGCTTCTGACAGACAATTAAAGAACTAAGTCCATATGGAGAAAAGAGATCTTTAAATTTTTCTAAGGAGTTTTTCCATAATAACATGATTGTATCAAACATGAATGTACAATTTTTCTTTCCAGTGACCTTGGTTTTGCAGAGAAGGTGACTTTCAAGGTCTTTATGACACACCCATAGGTCATGAGGCATCTTCCCTTACAGAAAAAACAGTGAAATTACATTATGTTTCTAATGCAATGTAAAAACTGTTTTAGCAATTAATAAGTCAATAAATTTTTTTTATATATTTTAAATTTACTTTTTTTTATAAGTATTGTACTTCTAATGTCACTCTGCAAACTAATTGTAAAAAAAAATCATATTAAAAATCAAAAATACTTCACTTTTAAGTAAAATGGGCTTTTGAAAAATGATCAGTAAAAGTATTTGACTTATAAATTCACAATTATAAGTGAAGAGAGATCTTCATATGGTGCTGGATTCCCAAGTACAAATGTGTGGACTTAATTTTTACACCAAGTTTCTGAGAATTCTATCAACTGGAGCACTATGGGTATTCAAGGTAGCCAAATGAAAGTTTGTCTCTGTAAAATTCAACAATTAATTTTTTAAAAAGTTTTTATGAGTAGTTTTAAGTTTGTGTCTGTGAATTTTTGGAGATTTTAGATTTATTTTCAGTTATACACTTCACATCATTTAAAAAAAAATAAAACCTTTCTAAAAAATGAAAAAAAGAGTGAAAATTCCAATCATCTTCTATTTTAACTGTTTTTCTGACATTTTGAATCAATTGACTCAGTTGCTTTCAGAATTTCATAAATTTGAAAATAAGCAACTTCAAGGTCATTAATCTTGTTCATTTTTGTTCCAATTTTTGTTTATAAACTGAATTAATATGTTACGTTTGCGTCATCAAAGGGATGTTATATAAAAGGGTCCCTTTCATGCATTTTTTACTTGGGGTAGTTTTTCTAATATAATCTTTTGAAGAAGAAAATTTTAATTCCAATTTCAAATGTTTAAGTGTTTGGATTTCTTAAAAACGTTTAGAAACTGGTTTAGAAATCAGAATGTTATTAAAATTTTGAATATTTTTCATACATTACGAAAATATACAAAACAAATTTTGAGGAACGTCTCGTCTGACCTTAAATATACGTAACCCTGAATCTGCTCTAAGGATGATTATATACTTTTTTTTATTATTTCTGCTTTTTCCCTATAAGTTTGAACTTTTATTGTGCCACCCTCCCCCCTTTTCGAGTCATGATTTTAACAAGTAGGCATCCACATATACCTGAGGATGCTTCCTTAACTAGAACTGTCCATATGGGACAAAATACCCCCCTCTGGTTTTTTCAGAGGTAAGTTTTTCCATAATAAAGTCACTTGTAGCCATTTATAGGTCAAGCAGCTCATTTGCATGTAAAATCCTAATGAGTAACTTATTAGTTACTTATAAGTTAAATGTATCAGTGAAGTGTAAGTCCAGAATAAAAAAACTTATAAGTAAAAAAATAAATCACTTATAAGTCACTTATCGGAAATTTCTGTAAGGGTTTGAAATGAGAACCTACCAAGTTTATCCAGAAGAAAGATATAGAATGGACACAAATTATGAAAATTTTCTTCCAGTATCCACATCCTTGGATCATCCGTAATTTTTGTGTGAAATGAGAACCTACATGTACCAAGTGTATCCAAGAGAAAGATATGGACCGGACACAAATTATGAAATTTTTCTTCCAGTGACCTTGAACTTCCCCAAATGACCTTAGTTCAAGGTCATGTCACACCCATTGGTTAGCAAGTTTTGTGTGGTATGAGAACCTACCAAGTGTATCCAAGAGAAAGATATGGACCGGACACAAATTATGATTTTTTCATCCAGTGACTTTGAACTTCCCCAAATGACCTTGGGTCAAGGTCATGACACATCATTGGGTCATGATCAATCTTTGTGTGAAAAAAGAACCTACCAAGTTTATCCATAAGAAAGATATGGACCGGACACGAATTATGAAATTTTTCTTCCAGTGACCTTGAACTTCCTAAAATGACCTTGGGTCAAGGTCATGAAACACCCTTGGGTCATGGGCAATCTTTGTGTGGAGTTGTAGATTCTGATGTTCCTCAGTAAGAAAAATATGAACTGGACACATTTGCACCGACAGACGGACAGACAGACAGACGGACGGACAAGGTGATTCCTATATACCCCCCAAACTTTGTTTGCGGGGGTATAAAACATAACCAATCCTTACTTTGCATGTTGAGAGAATCTTTTCTATATATACCTATGTAAAACTTTAATTGTCCATTGTGGGCTGGCCCTAACCCAAGGGGTCATGATTTGATCAAATTTGAATCTACTCTACCTGAAGATACTTCCAAATAAATATGACTAACCATGCCTTTGCTGTTCTCATGAAGATGATTTTAATTATATGTTCCTATATATTCCTATGTAAAACTTTGATCCCCCATTGTGGCCCCACCTTACCCCTGGGGGATAATGATTTGTACAATCTTGAATCTACACTACCTGAGGATGCTTCTATATAAATATGACGAATCATGACTTTTCTGTTTCTCATCAACGGATTTTTAAAGATTTTCCTCATATAAACTTATGATAAAGTCCTCACCCTTCCCCCTGGGGGTCATAACTAAAACAAATTTGAATCTACTCTACCTGAGGATACTTCATCATAAATATAACTAAAAGATTTTAAACGATTTTTCCTAAATATTCTTATGTAAAACTTTGATCGTCAAATGTGGCTCGACCCTACCACTGGGGGTCATGATTTGAAGAAACTTGAATCTATACTTCCTGAGGATATTTCCACTTAAATTTCATCTTTCCTGGTCCAGTGGTTCTTGAGAAGAAGATTTCTAAAAGATACCATTATTTTTTCACTAATTCTTAATAATTTCCCCTCGAAGGGGGACAGGGCCCTTCATTTTAACAAACCTGAATCCCATTCACCCAAGAATACTATGTGGCAAGTTTGGTTGAAAATGGTCCAGTGGTTCTTGAGAAGTCGAAAATGTTTACAGACGTACTGACGGACACCGGACAAAATTTGATCAGAAAAGCTCACTTGATCTTTTGGCTCAGGTGAGCTAAAAAAATTAATCAAATGTCTCGATTTCCTTTTGAGAAATTTTTAATCACCCGTACAGATGCTTTCAGATTTTTTTTTTTGGAAGTTTTAGAATAGGGAGTTGAATAAAGAAGAGAGAAAGAAAGGCTAATTTTTTTTAAATGTCCTGTTTCTTTATTTCTAACCACATTTTTCAAATGACCTCATATGAATTGCTTTATCAAAGAGGGATTACATAACTCTCACCTTTACTTTCTAAGAGCACAGGAGTCTGAAGTTTTAATCGTCAAGCCGTAATCGTCAAGCAGATTAGATTTTTCACCTTGAATAAATAACACAAACGCTCTGGATACCGAATTAGTCGCGAGACTTTTCTGGCCAAGCCCAGATCTTTTTGTTCAGATGGGTCCCCAAGAAACACGTTTCCATCCTTGTTTTTTTTTAATTTTATGGTTTGTTTTTTCCGGATTTTTTTTTTTTTTTTTTTTTTTTTTTTTATACGATAAAAACTTCAGAGTCCTGTGCAAACAGTAACATCCATTTTCAATTTTTACTGATTTTTCAAATGAATTTTTTATAACAATTGATATGAGATTTTGTCTAAATAAAATGCATATACATGTATCACGATTTTAAGTAAAAGGATGATTTTTATCAAGAAATATACCTTCTCTGTTTTATTCTCACAGTGTGTACCAACCAGAATGACAGGAGCCTCATCACTGCTGTACTGGTGTATGGACTTCATCCAGAACTCAAGATAATCTGAATAACAAAGACACATTCAGCTGTAAGAGTTTTCATTAAGATAGATTGCAGGAAATGATGGCTGATGGACATGACAAACTCCATGTGTCCAAACCATTTTCTTGGCGGGATATATAACAAACGTATTGCCTTCATTAAGCTACACAGAAGGACAAACAAATAGAAAAGTACACTGAAAGGAAAAAGAAATGCATAATAGCGAAATATATTTAACTATGTGGCCGAAAATTATGAAAATTGGTCAAATATGTATTTTGATTACTGTGCACTAAAATCCCTGGTCAAAGTTACTCATGATCAACCATGAAATGTATGGCGTCACGTAGGGGAAGTGATAAAAAGCCAAATACACGTGCATGTTGATGATGACAATTTTGTGATCACATTTTGTAGTGCCAAGAGATGCATTATAGTTATATTTACATTCAGTATAATTTTCCTTTTCAAATCCATTAGAAATCCACAACGTTCAAATTTCTATAACACACGCGAAACCTTGTCACCGTGCGTTAGAATACACAGTAGGAACTATATGCATTTTCAATACTCTAGAAACACCAAAATGTAAAATGTTTTACTTCAATTTAATGAAAAACTACATTCCTGAAAAATTAACGTAGAATTTTACGTAATGTGCGTTAAGAATTAATTTGTCACTTTTTTAATCGCAATGTTTGTTTGCGTAATTTAATTTTGCAACGTCACTTAACGTCATCTGACGTCACAAACGGCTCTTACGTCTATAAACCACGTTAGTTTTGAACTGCGCTAAATTCACATTAAATGTTAACGAGAAAAGCAATTATGAAGAAGGAAAATTAGAGAATGTAAATATAAGCATTGAATTCATATTTTGGGCTGTCTTCGGTCCTATAACACACCTGGCCGTGCCGACAAATTGCGCTAACGCGCGGTATTCAATTTGTCGGCACGGCCAGGTGTGTTATAGGACCGAAGACAGCCAAAAATATGAATGCAATGCTTAAATAGACATCGTTTTTCAGTATTTGCAGTCAGTAAAAACTTCTTGCAATCATGGTATTGCTAACGGAAGTTGCATCTGGTCTAGTAATTGAGTTGCATAATTGAATAAAAAGGCTGTGCAGTTTGTTTTTAACTTTTCAACCAAAAATTTTTTTTTTGGTTGTCAGAGAGTAACTTAAAATGTTTCCAACCAACCATGGAGATGACGCTGGCGCGTTACAACGTCACATCACAAGAGGGCTTTTCATCATGCCACCTTGCTTATTGTCAAGTCATTTTTACTGAAACCGATATTTTTACAGCAGATAATCATACTCATATTTTCACCCTAATACTAACAGAAACTCTCTGCTCTAATTTGGGTACATAAGCTTGGCAACTTTACGTCAAATTTACTCTCACGCGCACGTACGTGCCGTATATGTAATGTTTTTAGCATGTTGATGCTGAGAAAATGTAGGCAGTGTTTGTCGAGACTTCCTCACAACATTCACGTGTACCGAATAAGCTAGGTTCGGTCAATTCTATCCTAAATTCCTTCCTAAATCGAAAATTCATTGGATTCATTTAGCGGGGGGATTTGTTGGTTCTGGAATAATACATCTACTCTCAATCATTAAGACTACCTTCGGAAGGATTGAATGATAATCCTATGAGAAAGATAAGTACTCAATGCACAAGAAAATCATGTCTGTTACTGATGCGCAAGGGACATGATGAGAATTTTTATTTTAATTTTGGGGGGAATCGACAAATCAATTTTAATAACCCCGTATTATCAGTCAAAATCATACAAGATTTCGGTTACATGTTGTTTAAAGTTGAATTAAAATGTTTGATAACAATACTGGAAAACATATTGGAAATAAAAGTTTTAATTTTATTCAAAAGTTTATTATGCGTTTCTTTTTCCTTTCAGTATAATTCTCATTTAGGATAAAAGATTTAAAAGTTTCACAGGTCAAAATTTTCAAAATTCAATGGGGTATACACCTGGCTCAGAAAATATGGAAAATATAAGCATAAAAATTTCCTTTTTCAATATGTCAATAACATTTATCAATGTAATAAATTTTGATCTGATGAGATGGTGCCTTGAAAAAGATTTTTTGGCCATACATTTCATAATTAAAATATTACCTCTGTGTGTCCATCCCCCGTAAACGGAGTCTTCCTGACAACACACTTCTTCTCCAACCTTATCATCAAACTTCTTCTCCATATTCAGCACCAGAATAAAAAATGCACGAGGACTCAAAAAAATCTGGTGCGACGCATAATATGAACATTGTCCTGCAAAGTCAGTCATGGTAATTTTTTTATCTGGATATTCTGAAACGTTTTTTGTATCAATCTGCAAATTTCCAGAAATTGATGAATTATTTGGTTCAGGAATATCTTTGTTTTCCTTTTTAACATCTACTAATGATTCTGGTGATGTGGCCCCCTGTGGTTCATGGGATGAGGTAGTTATAATATTGGTATTATGTTGGTATGATATTTGACCACTGTTTGATGCTTGAATCGCATGGCCCTCATCATCAACTGTTTCCATCTTTTCCTGTGTTTCCCTATCATCAGCTGCATTTTTTGAAAGAGATTCAGGAACACTCTGCTGCAGATCTTTTTTATCAAGTCTAAGTTTAAAGCGCTGTTGTTGGCTTGAAGGATTTGCTGTAAATAAAAATGAATACATTTAAAAGACCTTCTCTCTTTGCTGTCCCCGTAAATGAACTTTAAGTTTACTTTAAATAAATCTACAACTAAAAATATAAATTAGAGGTATTGTGAGCATTGAATTCACATAATGATATCCAGAGATATCATATAAGTATAATGGCTAGGTCCACTTTTATCACTGAAATACCAAATATCTGTGCGATCTAAACATAAAGTAGGAGCTTGGTCTTAGGTAAAAAAAATTGAGTGGATAAGGAAGAGTTGCCGATATGAAGAAGGGTATGGAGATAACGAACAGTATTCAATCTCAAAGTCCATATACAAATACAAAACTAAGGAGCAGAGCAAACACGGACCCCCGAAACATCAGAGGTGGGATCAGGTACCATGGAGGAGTGAGCATCTCCTGCCGACCGGTCACACCCGTCGTGTGCTCCTTGTCATGATCAGGAAATAACGGAAAAAATCTATCGTCCATTCAGTGTATAAATGATGAATAACAATTGGTATAAAAAACGTCAGTCAGCATTTGACTCAATGATAAATTGTATTTGCTGACAAGGTCATTTTATCGACCAAAGAATTTACGAAATGATGACTTAAAACGACACTGCTGATATTCTTGTTTCATCAACTTGCTTGTCAATAATTTACCTCATTTTAGAAATTGTTCATACGTAGAGCATGCTCTTGCGTATCGAATCAACTAAGATAAATATACTCCGTATGCAGATGTTGAAGATATATTGCTGCATAAGTAAGGGCGGATGACGATAGAAAAGTTAAAGTCATCACGTTTATCATATAGCTTGGTAACCCCAATATCAGTGAAGGGAGACTGAGGGTGTATCTTTCTTGCTTTGGGAAACCCAGAATATACTCCATCATAAAGAAAACTTGAGGTCACAAAGCCAATATGTAACAAGAATTCTGTGAATTTCAAGGGTCTTTACATTTTTTATAGTGGTATAAGAGGATTAACAGATGAAATATGGGTACCGACAAATGTGATAAACAATAGGATGAAAAGATTGACATGTACATCATTATATAACCTCTGTTTTATAAAAAGGCGAGCAGGGGAGGTTTACAAAAACGTTTTTTCAATATGAATAAAAATAGACTATTTAAAACAGATAATAATTTTACCTCTTGTCACAAAAATTATATAATTGTGGAGAGAAAGTTTTAAGCATCCTTAGTTAAGTATTATGTAAATTTATCAATTCAACCTGGATAGAGTCAAAGTAAATATAATAGGTAACAATATATACAACATGGATAGAGTCAAAGTAAATTACAATAAGTACCAATATACAACAACCCGGATAGAGTCATGATAAATATAATAAGTCACAATATACAACAACCTGCATCCCAAAATCCCCAGATACATCAATTCACTAGGTGTGACGATTCTAAGCCAATTAATACCTAAGATACTTAAAATAGATAGCCATAAAATCTCAAAAGTAGGTCATCATGACCTACATTTTGGTTTCACTCTCCTAAAACCCAAAATGCACCAAATCACTGAGTTTGATGATTCTAAGCCAATAAATACCTATAATACTTAAATATAGCCACAAAATGTCAAAAGTAGGTCATTTTGACCTACATTTTGGTCAACATCAAGTCCTGGTCATCTTCGCTAGCCAAGAGTTTCTGATACGCTCCTCTCCTCATAAACCCTTGGCATACGGTGAAGTCAAAAGACGGGATTGTTTTCCGTCACGTGATCTCGAATCTATCAGGTATGCACAGATTGCGTCATCGCCAGAAATAAAGACACGTGTTAAAAAAAATTAAATCAAGGTTTTTTCAAGAAAAATTAAGAAGCAATAATTGAGCTATGTTTATTCATTATTTATAAAACAAATCTGAAGCTTCAATATATATTCTTAATCACATATTTAGAAGATATTGGATGACACCATGGCTATTCATAGAATTGAATGTTATCTTACGGATCGTTGTTTCCTGCGTTTTTCATTTCCTAGATTAAAGAGTGAAGATGTATCCCGAACGCAAATATCGTCATTTACAAAAAACAATTGCTGATTGCTCGACCTGGGTGTACTGAAATCCAATCAGAACTCTGGAAAAAAATCCCGATTTCTATGAACACCGTAGGCCAAGGGTTTATGAGGAGAGTAGCGTATCAGAAACCCTTGGCTAGCGAAGATGAGTCCTGATATGCATCTGCTGACTAAGTTTGATGACTGTAGGTCTGAAGGTAATCAAAATATGCACTTAAACCAATTTGAAAACAAATGTCTGCAAAATTCAAAATGTAGGTCACAGTGACTTACTTTTTCTTAAATATGTTGTAAGGTCCTAAAATGCAGAAACTTACAAGATTTGATTATTCAAACCCTGTCATTGTCTGGAATAATGATTAATGATTAAATGTTTCAAAAACGATGTCATAAAGTTCAAAATGTAGGTCACAGTGACCTACTTTTAAATTGACGTTGTACAAGGACCCAAGATGCATCAACTGACAAAGTTTGATGATCATAGGCCTTAAAGTGTCCAAAATATGCTTTCAAATCAAACAAAATTTCAAAAGTAGGTCATCGTGACCTACTTTGAAGTTAACATGATGTGAAGTCCTAAGATGCATCAACTTAGAAGATTTGATGATCCTAGTCCTTATAGTAAGCAAAATATAAATGTTTTTATTGAATGTAAATTTGAAGCTTTGAAGTGACCTTGAGACACGTCCTTTGCCCCAGGGTGATGCCTTGAATAATTTTTAATCTTCAAGATATGCTGATCCATGTATGTATGTTTTGTGAAAATCTGCCAGGTGTTTCTGGAGAAAAAGATTTTTTTGCAACTTTTAAATTTGTTTTCCTGATTACTCTATCCTTGTTTAAAGGTCCCAAGCTTTATTTTAGTATAAATGGTAGCCCTTGGGCCAAGGATACTTTGTGACAAATTTGACACTGATTTGCCAAGGGGTTCTTGAGTTATGGCCCATATTCTAAAAAGTTAACTCACATCGCACAAATGGCCATAGCGTTAGCTCTTTGAGTCTTTGGCTCAGAAGAGCTTAAAATTAGTTTACAGTACCTGTACCTGAAAATATTTCACTGTAGCAATAAAATTTCAGAAGTAGGTCATGATGACCTACTTATGAAATTTGATAGCTACAGTACGACTGGACACAACCTTACACCAGAGCGAACCCAAATCGCATCCCGGGTTTGCTTCCTGGGTCCGCTCAGGGTCTGATTCGGACCCGCTTTCAGAAACATTGTGACCTCTTTAAGTGCGCCTTGGTTGCTTTTCGGGTACACTCTGTGAACTCGGCATTCGAATTCCACATTTCGCAATCGAACGTGAAGCGGACCATGTTTACATCTTGCCTTCAGTAAGCCCACCTGTTGTATATTCCAAAACAGTAGTGGAATCGATCATTGTTGTTTTTATCGAGATCGATACATGCACACTGTACATCTTTAAAGTGACAATATGGAGTACATTGATAAATTCCAACGTGGAATTATAATTAATTGTGATATCCTAATTTCTCTGCACTCAGAATTTTGATCCCAAAAAAGTTTTTAACAGCAGGCTATTTGGCACATACAATGTATTTAATATATATTTTTCAGTTGATGTATAATGAGGACACACGATGGTCAGCAAGAAATCTGTGAGCCAATGCTCACTAGTAATACCCCCACTCTGATGTAAATAAGCACTATAATGTTAATATACACAAGTTCAAATATAGTCAGATGCACAGAAACAAGAGGCCCAGGGGCCACAGCGCTCACCTGAGCACATTGGGCTTGAATTTAACCCCTCCCCCCTCCAGGCTTTCATCATTTGTACAAACTAGAATCTACACTACCTGAGGATGATTCCATATAAATATCACTAATCAAAGCTTTGAAGTACATGAAAAGAAGAATTTAAAAGGTCTCCCTATATTTCCCTATGTTAAACTTGGGTGGGCCAGTTTGGCCCCATCCTAGCCCCGGGGTCATGATTTGAACAAACTTGAATATACACTAACTGGGGATGATTCCACATGAGTGTCATCTTTCCTGGCCCAGTGGTTCTGGAGAAGAAAATTTTTAGAGATTTTTCTTATATATTACTATGTAAAACTTGGGTCGTCCATTTTGGCCCCACCCTTGCCCCGGGTGTCATGATTTAAACAAACTTGAATCTACACTACCTGAGGATGATTCCACATGAGTTTCATCTTTCCTGGCCCAGTGGTTCTGGAGAAGGGTTTTTAAAGATTTTTCCTATACATTCTTACCCTTGCAGAAATTATTCCTGACTTGAAAATGCTTCTCAGGAATTCCTAAGATGTCCTAAGAATTCCTAAGATTTCCTCACAATCTGATTTGAGGAAATCCTAGGAGTAACAATCCTGGGATTTGATTTCAGGACATCCTAGGATCTCCCAGGACTTCTTTGTTAAACATTTCAAATCCAAATCTTGCCAGGACATTTCATTGTAAAGCCAGGAATTAATCATTTTTATGATAATCCCATTTCCTAAGACTTTTGACTTAATGTTGGGACTTTTGTAAAAAAGACAAATTAAACTTTACAAACTTGGACATGTTAATAAATGTTAAAACAGAATGACAGGAATTTTTTTTTACTTTTAAAGTTTTAATGTATAATATCAAGAAAATCATAAAATGAATAATTTTCAATCATTACATATTATACTTGATACATAGAAAGACACTGACCCTAGAACTATTTTTTTAATTAAATACTTTCTGAAATATTGATGCTGTCAGGGAGGAGTTATACATGTTTTATGTTTTAAAGAAAAAATTGTTTACAGACAAACAATATTTCACCATTTCCAAATCACACATTTCCGAGTTGATTTTTATCCATTAGAATTAAATTCTACACTTAATATTTAGATTGCTTCGTTCATGGGAAACTGAGTGCAAGCATAGTTTTTTTTTTTTCGAAAGCACTGGTCATACAAACTTGGCCATCTTGCGATACAACATCAAGTATTAATACAACTTTTTCTTTCTATGTAGAAGTAATATTTTCCAGAATGTTTCACTGAAAATAAAGTGTTCCTCTTAACTTAAAGTTGGTTTTCAAATGGCTTTGAATTCAGAAGACCATACATGCAGAAGGATGGAGTGGTAAATTTTCTTCATCTGTCAATTTAATTTTTCACTTCACATTTCATTTCGACAAAATAAAACATATTTCCTCAGAGCACGTTATAAGAAATGGCTCTCCTTTATAATACCGTCATCACTTGCATACAGGTTATATATCTCTCAGGTGGTTACCAAACTATCAGCTTCAAAGTCACATGCCTGGCTAGAAGTATCTTTTTTGTATCTTCTTCTTTATCAGTGTCATTTGGTTCATCAAACTGTCTTTGACTTTACTTATTATCTTTAATATCTTCATCCAAATCTGTATGATTTCGCTGTATATTCACCCATAACTGCCAGAGATACTATACAAAAGAAAGAAAATATTGAGTCATATTGAAAGAAGAGTACAATACACAAATTTAAATACTAAATAAACAGCATACTCAAGAAGCATGACTTGGTCTGTGACATCATACTTTCGTCACTTTCTGACTTTAAAAGCTTGGTATTTCAAATTTTGTTGGGTAAGAATCGTGTTTGAGAATATAATTCCTCATGTTGTTATTGATATTGAGTATTGCTTTTATTTAACGAGGAAAATCTAAAATACGCAATTAAACTAATAGAGTTTCCTGAAAATTTTATCCACATAAACAGAGATCAAAAAAACTTTTCAAAGGTTTTGACCAAATTCGAGTCGTAACATAACTATTAAATACGATAAAAATGCGCTTTCCCTATAGGTTTTATCACCAGATATACTAATTTTCATTCATCACTTAGCATAAGATACTTACAGACATCGTGACAGGCTTGTAGATGCGAAGAAAAGTCGTTGTTTACAGCACAATGTGACAACTTCAGGATCCGCCATATTTTGTTTGGACGGTTTCCATGCAAATTGTTCTTGGCCTAAATGTATCATCGTGGTTCTTCAAAAATATTTTCTTCTGTAACACTTTCTGTTAGTAGAATTGGTTGATCAAGGATATTTATATTTTATTTTTCTAATATGCGGGTCGTTTGTCACCGATAATAACTTACGTGTTTTTTTAACAAGATTCTCGGGAAAATGTCGGGATATTTGTTAAAGGTGTACAAAATACCCCTACACCGTGTCTGTCTCTCGCGCGAACTTCCGAGAGGTGGTACAAAAAAGTGATCTTCGATCAATTAGTACCCGGTGTATAAAATATATTTTACTGTCAACTCAGCTTTGAATATTAATTTGTCAGAAAATGTTCGCTAAAATATATTTTCTTTTTGTAAAAAAAAAAAAAAAGTAAATTCACATTAATCACAAATTATTTTCAAGAATAAAGAAACCGCATTTTCTTGGTATGGCACGAAATAACTTGACACCGTCCTGTATCATCCTCTCGCGAGACTTCATCGAGAAGCGCAAAATAGGAGTTCAAGGAGCGGCAATGTTTAGAGAGATTGGTGAAATGCAATGAAATGCACAACTTACGCCCAAGATTGACTCTAATTCTTCACATAAACCATGTTCTCTTTCCCAAAAATCTTGGTTTCGCTAGGAGTGCATGCAGTAAAGGGAATGTTGGAAGAAGTGTAGATATCATGGCCACAGGCCAGTGGGGTAAGTGGCGAGTGGTTCTTTGTAATATGTATTTATTATTTAAACACACAAATATTGTTTAATAATTTAGTGCATGTGATGTGTTGTATAATATTTCAATATTGAAACAAAAGAAACGATTTGAATATGTGTAAAAGGTTTTTGGGCATACTGAGATTCAGTCTAGTCCATGAAGATCAAACGTACATACACAGTGAAATATTTCCAGGTTTTACATGTTAAAATTTAGTAAGCAGAAGACTTATAAACAAATATTTATTATCCGTTACTGTTAAATTTGCATTGAATGTTTTGACATGGTGTAAATTTTGGAATTATACTCTTAAATAAAGCCTTCATTGCATTGTTATCTTTAGCTAGAACCTTGAAGCCTGGCAAGGATTATGAGACTGGAAACTTCCATTGAGACTACCAAATGAAGAGAAAGTTTCAGGTATCTTGTAATCTTTTTTAAAATTTTCTTTTGTAAACTTGAAAGAATAGACGGATTTCACATAGTGACATTCCTATGAGTTATCTCCCGTTTTCGGCGTAACACTCATTTTTCCCACTTTGTCCTTTGTAAGTTACCTGGAAATATTTTTATTTTCAGACATTTATATCTAACAATATCGGTCTGTAACTGTATTGCCAGAATATGGGGCAACTTGAAAAACAAAAACGTAATGAACAAATTCATACATACTATATTTCTGAGATACTGACCCATAAAGTTGGTAAGGTAATAGAGGGGAAACAGTGTCTTACGCCGGTTGACCCTGGATTGACCCCGCAAAGGGGAATAACTTTTGTAAATGTGAAAGTCGTCTATGAAAGTTTATGGTACATTTCAATCTCTGTAACTTGTATTAAGTTGGAAAAACTGACGCAGATGTCGTAGAACTCATAAGATAATATTCGCAAAATTTAGAACAGAAAAATGAAAAAATCAGCAAGAAATATCAATGACAGCCATCATTTAAATTAATTTCAGCTAGATTACAAAAGAACAAATATATACACGTCTTATAAAAAATTTTATTGATAACTTTGCAGACTGTTTAACTCGGACTAAGGGAAAAGAAGCAAATTACAACAAGGAAAATATTGCCGAGAAAGGTAAGCTGTTCAAATAATGTTGATGTATGATTTTAATGTTCTGTTCACACGTAGAGTTTAAGTCACAGTATTTTAATGCCAAGTAAATTGACTTCATACGACAGCTGTGGTAAAGAGGTTAACTATTGCAAATTAAAATTTTCTTTTCTACAAAAAGGCTATTCAGTAAGATTATGACATCATTTGTAAATCACGTCATGTATGCAATTGATTAACATACCTTATTCCTTATGCAAGTGTGAATAAAATAAATCTTTTGAGAAAAATGGTTCATCTTACTTAGGCAAACACATATTTTTATGGACTGGTAGAATCTGAAAGCTTGGTACATGTAGTATCTTTGGCTACTAAATTTTACAAGACATTAGTTTGATTTTCATCCCTAATAGAAATAATTACATATTTAGACTAAACAATGGAATACATTAAGTAAAATTTAATTTTAGCAAAGACAAGTGAAAAGTCGAGTGAAGAAAAAGCAAACAAGGCTTCACGATCTGCAACTAGGCCACTGGCGATGAAGAAGAAAAATGTACAGCTAAAGAAGATACATCAGTGATCAACTAAAGCTGGGCGACTTACACTGGATTGATGAGGTGCAGGGGGGATATTAATTTGGGTCTGTTTATCTTTCTGTTTGTCAATCTGTCTGTCTTTAACACTTTGTTCTCTTAACATTTCCAAAAAGCCATCAGATATTGCAATGACATTTTATATTATAACTCATTTTGACGATCCCACTGCAGAACATGATCAATACAAATTTAATATTGTTTATAAATTAAATATTACCCTTATATATTTTGAAGTGAAATGGTCAGAGGTCAAGGCCTTTTTTGGGAGCACATATTGTTTTTGCCTGTCTGTTAATCTGTCTATTGCCAATTTACCTTTTGCTATAACTTTTGAATCATGAGAGATATAGATACTTCATATTTGGTATGCTTACTCCACTTTCAAATGAGACCAAGACCAATGACCTTGACTGTCATCGTTATGCTAAAATATAGCCTTATTGAATCTTTCACTTTTGAACCATAAGAGGTAGAGATTTTATATTGAGTATCCATACTCCACTAATTAAGTTCTTTCAAATACATCAAGATTAATGACCTTGTGACTTTGACCTATATGTTTTTTGTTTTTTTTTCAAACTTTGTTGCCACCAGGTGCATACTGTTTTTGTTTTTTTTAGGGGGGGGGGGTGTTATGAATTAGTTCTGTTTGGAATCTGAATCTTTTATTGTACAGAATTCTTCAGAAGTGACGAACCCTGAGGGCCTCACCCCTACTCTCTACACTAGGTTGTTGATTTAAATATTTTTTTTATTATTATTAATATTTGTCATTGTACATGTATATCATAAATATTCTAAGAGAGCTGCTTCAGAATGTATTAACAAAGTTTGAAAATAAGACAATCTGTTTCCCCCCTTGTGTGTAAATCATGATGTTGAATCATAAATGCATTATAATGTTACAGCAGTAAAATTGTAAAGAATTTGTTGTATCAGATACCATCAGCATTTTTTAAAAATTATTTTATGTATTATTTTTTCTGTGTGGCCATAAATTTTTATAATACATACATTCATTAAATTTTAGAGATCTTATAATTCTGCTTTGTTGCTATGTATGATTTTTAAAAAAAAAAAGATGTCCTAGGAGGCTAGGATATCCTAGGAAATCCTAGGAATTCCTGATTTCATAGGACATTTTCAGTGTTGGGATTTTCCTGGGATATCCTGGGAAGTCTTGGTGTTTTGATTCCTGGGATTTTTTTAGAACCCCTGAATTGGGACTGTCCTAGGAAATCCCAGGAATTCCTGTTCCAAAAACATCTCAGGAAATCTTAGGATTTCTTAGGACATCTCAGGAATATTCTGCAAGGGTATGGCATGCCTCATAGAAGATTGTGTTAAAATTTCAAGCATCTTTGATTAGTAGTTGCTTAGAAAAATGCGAAGAAAATTTGTTTCGGACAGACACACGGCCAGACAGACAGACACACAAGGGTAAAACAGTATACCCCCTCTCCTTCGGAGCGGGGGTATAATTAACAGATTTTAATGATTCTAGGCCAATTAGATCCTGAAGTAATTAAATAAAGACAAAAAAATTCAGAAGAATGTCATGGTGATCTACTTTTTAGTTCACATACTCCTAATACCCAATATACATCAACTGATAAAGTAAACTCATTAGTTTGAAAATAAATCAATCTACTCCACCTTCCATATGAATATGACCAATCATAGCTTTGCTATTTTCCTAAATATATTAATTTTCTTTGTAAAACTTTGGTCACCAATTGCGGCTCGACACCCATGTTTTGAACAAACTTGAATCTACTCTTATCTACTTGAGGATTCTTCCACGTTTCATTTTACCTGGCCCAGAGGATATTTAAAATGATATCTTTTTTCCACTAATTCATAATTAACTTCCCTCGAAAGAGAGCATGGCCATTCTTTTGAACAAACTATGATTTTCTTCACCAACGAATACTTTGTGGCAAGTTTGGTTGAAATTTTTGAGAAGTAGTCGAAGCAAAAAACAGTTGGACACCGGACAAAATATGATTATAAAAGGTCACTTGAGTCTTCGGTCAGCTTTAGATATGGCATTGAAACTGAAATTATTGGATTTCAAAGCATGTTTAAAAGCATGAATATGTTTTAAGAATTATATAGATTAGTTGTAGACTAGATATCATTGAGATGGTGGCCATCTCAAAGGGCCCCGCATTCAACAATGAACATGAAAATGTAAGGTCGTTTAAAAGGGATTGTTTTGAAGAGGAACATTTGTGTTATACAGAAAAGTTGTTTAGTACGACTTCATGGATACTGCAAATTTACTAATATTTATCGAAGTTATCTTGTATCCAGAGTTATATAAATTTACTGGAATTAATGGCAAAGAATTATGCGATTTTAAACAGAAAGGGTAATTCTGACCATGACCTAGAAACTTCGACCAAGGTCACTGCACATCCATTGACCAGTGGATCTCTATGAGTGAAGTAATAGCCAGATTGGGCCATACTCCGGACTAGGATTTTTCATATAATTCTGCTATGACCTTGATCTTTGACCTAGAAATATGTTAAAGGTCACTGCACACCGGTCACCCAAATGCACTCTGTGGGTGAAGTATGAGGCAGTTTGGGCCAAGGAGAGAGAAGATATGCTCCAGACAAGGATTTTTATATAATTCTGCTATGACCTTGACCTTTGACCTAGAAACATAGTTCAAGGTCACTGCACACCGATTACCCAGAGACACTCTGTGGGTGAAGTATGAGCCAGATTAGGCCAAGGAGAGAGAAGATATGCTCCGGACAAGGATTTTTCATATAATCCTGCTATGACCTTGACCTTTAATCTAGAAACCTGGTTCAAGGACACTGCACACTGGTTACCCTAAGGCACTCTGTGGGCGAAGTATGAGCCAGATTGGGCCAACAAAAGAGAAGATATGCTCCGGACTAGGATTTTTCATATAATTCAGCTATGATCTTGACCTTTGACCTAGAAACCTAGTTCAAGGTCACAGCACAGCGGTTACCCAAAGGCACTCTGTGGGTGAAGTTTGAGCCAGATTGGGCCAAGGAGAGAGAAGATATGCTCTGGACAAGGATTTTTCACATAATTCAGCTATGACCTTGACCTAGAAACCTGGTTCAAGGTCACTGCACACTGGTTACCCAAAGGCACTCTGTGGGTGAAGTATGAGCCAGATTAGGCCAAGGAGAGAGAAGATATGCTCCGGACAAGGATTTTTCACATAATTCAGCTATGACCTTGACCTTTGACCTAGAAACCTGGTTCAAGGTCACTGCACACTGGTTACCCAAAGGCACTCTGTGGGTGAAGTTTGAGCCAGATTGGGCCAAGGAGAGAGAAGATATACTCCGGACAAGGATTTTCATATAATTCAGCTATGACCTTGACCTTTGACCTAGAAACCTGGTTCAAGGTCACTGCACACCGGTTACCCAAAGGCACTCTGTGGGTGAAGTATGAGCCAGATTGGATCAAGGAGAGAGAAGATATGCTCCGGACAAGAGATCTCGGACGGACGGATGGACGGACAGCCTGACGGACGGACGGACGGACAGACTGATCACTATAGGGCGCCCGCCAATCAGGGCCCTAATAATAAATACCCCGATTTGAGCATTTATGAAATAAAAACATTCAACTGATTCTTCTGACTCTAACCCCTGCTTTTATATTGATACTTGTGCAGGGGATAGTATATAGGTCCCTGGTGCTAAACTTGAAATTCCAATTTTAGGGGGTTTGAAATTACTTTTCCTCTCTCTTAAGCCTAATTAATTTAATTAATTTAATTAACTGTGTACTAATTAACTAAATGATGACGACCGTCACAGGTCGAAACCGGTCAACAAAATAAATTTACTGCTGCATTCTCAGGAAGTGTTGGTGATCTGTTTTATACTTTTAAGTTTTATTAACTAAATGTACAGTAAGATCTACACTGCTCTCTATCACTTTATTTTATGTAATGAAAGTTGTGTTTCGAGATTCCTTGACATGTACATAAATATTTCCATTTCTAATTTTTTTTTCTCTGTGATAACTCTTTGAAAATTGTCGGAATTTATTTCTTGATAATTCTGCCGAAATGTTAATTAGGCAGGTCGATAGGTCAGGAGCTAAGGAGGCCTTATACGCATGCAAATCTTGTGCACATCAGTCTCTGTGTCTGACGCTACATCAACAATAGTGGGAAACATGGGATAATTTTTGCATAACGGGAAAAAAGCCCGTTATGCAAATTATCCCATGTTTCCCACAATTGTTGATGCCCTGGCATACTCTCAAAACTAGACAGTGATTCCTTAAATATCATTTCTTTTTCTCTTTGTTCAATTTGTTCCCGCTGGTCCTGATAACAATCTTGTTCTATCAGAGGACATTTTAAATTCTGATACTGTAATACAGTATGTCAAAACAATCCCAGTTAATTGTTTACACCAGTGGCCTACTGCACATAGCATTGTTTAAATAGATCAAGCTTGGGTTGTAACTGGAAGTTAAAAGTACAACCTAATTTTTGCACCAAATCCGGAAATGGGGTGATAAGCATGACCCGCGATGTCATAAAAAAATCAGGTTAAGGGTTGAAAAGTAATCCGACGAAAGTGGGCGAGTTGGCATGTATCTACAGGACTGTTGAAATTGTATGATTTTCAATCACTTTATTGAATAAATACAAAAATTGGCATGTATATTCCTATGCCAGATACATGAAGGTCTTGGTTCGAGTACTATATCATTTGGCACATGAAGAAAGCAGTGAGCAGTCAGAGATTTCCTCATAGCTAAAGTGTGAATTAAGCCATAAGGTATTGTATATATATGAAATAAATTTCATTTGTTGACATGTCAGAAAATTTCCGTTTGTATTTTTCCTAATTGAATCTTTAGTGACGTGCATGAATGGATTTACGAGATTCCCACTGTCCCTATCTATTATCCAGCCAGGGGAATGGGCCTGGTAAGTCCGTTTGTATTTTT